TTGCGCCACACACGACGTTCTGAGTAAGGTCGCCAACCTTGTGTAACATGTCAGCAAGAACAGACGCTATCTGCAGGCGAGTACTTTGGTTAGGTTAAGTTGGGTTGGGTTATGTTAGTGACGCGCGTGCGTAGACGACCATGCGTAATAATGCATGCACATTCTACAGTGCGCCATAAATATATGCTAATGGGTAGGTTTGCCTCGACGCTCCCAATTAACATCCACCGCTTAATGATCTAGCAGTCGATCTTTGACTAAAACCGAATCCAGATTGTAATAGTTGTTGCCAGTGTTTAAGCCGGTCTAAGTAAAGGATTCCGAGTTAGAACTGTTGGCTTTAGATGGAATATATTTTACCGTTGTGTGTGTGTGTAGACTGTAGACGAATCCATATGGCAAGAGCTTTCCCTCAACTCATGAACGTAGGGATGTGGATGGGGTAAGGTTCCTGTCAAATAAGTATATGTAGTTGTCAGGCGGTGAGGTTGATGTATGTTCCACACACGAATACTCTGAGATGTTCATCCATCAAGTTCAGAGATGGCAGGCTATAGTTATGTTACGGCTTCTTTTAATATGATTCTACACAAAGGAAAATGATGATTTATGCAAATTAAGTGCATATATATGTATATAAGTGAGTCTGTATGTTTTGTGTGTTTTATTTTTTCCCGAAACAGTGGAAATTAACACGGAGAAATTTATAAACCCTGAAAAGGTAATAAATTATATAGACGTTCCGTCAAGACATAAAATTGGTGTATTTTTACATCCCACTTTCATATGTTTGAAACTCTTCTTTGAAAAAAAGTTTATTCTTTCGCTCCATGCTTACTTAATTTTCTACTTTAATCTCCCTACTTCAGAAAATTACATTATCTGTTGTTTTGTATGGGTCTGAGACATGTTCTCTTGTATTAAAGGAAGAACATGTGTTGAGGATCTTATCGAATAATTGGCTCTAAGAACTACACAGTTACTGAAGGAAGGACAAAGCTTCTCAGTACTGTGCCTTATAACTTGTATTACGCACAAATCATTACTAGTGTAAGATTGGTGGGACACATA